ATGGTGGAAGAGGTTATGGAGATCCTTATGGAGGAGGTGGGGGTGGATATAGAAGATACTAAAAACTACCAAAATTAGATAGCAGTGCTTTTCTTGGCAGAGACATTAGGTGTAGTGTTCTAAATAACATACTTGAATGTCATCTTTGAAGTAAACACCATGTTAGATTCCCTGATACCATTCTTGAATTGGGTTAATCTGTAAGAGCATTGTTTTATACTACCATCTGATCTCTTAGAGTGATGATTTTTCCATATTCTGTGTACCCTTGAGCATGTCTTTTTAAAAAACAAAAAATGAGCAAAAATTATTTTTAAAAATGTAAATATTTCCATCAGACTTAGAAAATGGAAAGTATTTTATTGTCATGATTGAATTTAGATTGTTACCTGTATTTTATTCAGGTTTGAAACACATAAATAACCCGACTTGTAATGGAAAGGAATATAGACTGTTGCCTCATCTGTATTCCTGTGCCGTGTTTTGTATTTGATAATTATACTTTATGAAATAGGGAAAGGGACTGGTCTGATAGTTGTGTTCAATAGGTAGTTGTCATGACTTGTTTGTTCTTTTATAGGCAGCAGTTCCTCTGACCAGGTTTCTGTTAAAGTTCCATTAATTGAAGCTCAAGCCTACTTTTTGCTATGTATATTTGATTTATTTTCCAGGTGGATTTGAAATCTGTGATTTTGTTTAACAAAGCAAAGTTAAAGACTGAGGTCAGAATTACCCTAAAGGGATAAGGACAAGCAATAATTTTACATGGTGATGTAAATAATACTCATATAAACTGGTCTCTTCATTTGTGCCATCACCTTAGGTGTTTGAATATTAAAAGGCAGGCTGAGCTGTATTGCTCAGGATCAGGGCAGTAATTGCCAGTTTCAGTCCATCAGAGGTAGGATCAGGGCATCCCTTGGAAATTCTGATTCATAGCTCGATTTGGGAAACAGGGTTAGGGAGTGGTTACATGTGGTTTGGTGGTTGGAGCAGGTAAAGGTTTGGAGATCAAGAGTTGTGAATTTGAATCATGGTAGCCCAGGGGTTCTATGGGCTGAAATGACCATAGCTCTCAAGGATTGATTTGTCCTCATTTGTCAAATGAGGAATGGGACACTTGCACTCTTCTCAGATTGTTTCATAAAGACGTAAGTACAAGTGCCATTTATTGAGGGCTTGTTGTGATGGTTTAATGCATTTTTCTCTTAGTATAGAGAGTTAGATAAGATAGTCACACACATTTTTTCATTCCCACTGTAAAATATGTATCCCAGTGTGGGCTCTTGGTTGACACCTGTGCATAACAACTTTCTTTGATCTAGCAAACTCAACAGATAGAAAGCTGATTACCAGTGGACACATGGTATTTGATATTTGGCAGTTTCATTGTTGTTGTTTTGTTTTGCTTTACAGTAAACCCTGTAGTGAAAACTAAAATGTTAAAACTTTAAATATTGTGTATACTGCAGTCTTTGCCATGTATTTTTCAAGCTAACTCTTCAAAGAAATTTGTTCAGGACAGGAAAACAAACTTTAGGTTATTTGTAAAATAGATTTTAAAAATGTGTTTATATTTAATGAAGATACTTAATTTCATTTGTGATAGTTGGGAAAAAAAGGCTTTCTGTAATTAAAACATTCTTTTCAATAGCTATGAATTCTGAAAAATAAATAATTTTTAAAAATATTTAATCAAAGACTACTGGAGTATAGTTGCTGATATAGAAGGGGTTTACAACTACTTTCAACTTTTATCACTCAAGGTTTGTGGTAAACAATGGCAGAAACATTAATTTATCCATTTCTGTAAGATTTCCTTGTACCTTCATAGGAGTGCTGTTGAGTTATCCACTATACTTGCTGTAAACCTTATCCAGTTTTATCGCTTGCTCCTGGGATCATATTGGAGCTGGAACCACTCCTATTTATACATTCTCATAAACTTCACTTGAATGATAAGCAGGGTGATCTAGACCCTAATCTTTTTCTTCCCTGGAAGGTAGGATTTTCATATATTTTTTTTTTTTAAAGATTTTATTTATTTATTAGAGAGAGAGAGCGCACAAGTAGGCAGAGAGGCAGGGAGAGGGAGAAACAGACTCCCCACTGAGCAAGGAGCCTGATGCAGGACTCGATCCCAGGACTCTGGGATCATGACCTGAGCCGAAGGCAGCCGCTTAACCGACTGAGCCACCCAGGCGCCCCCATGATATTCTTTTTTAAGTAAAAATTTGTTTTGTAGAAGTGTGTGCTGAGCAATAGCTAGACTAGCAATAGGCAATTTGGGGCTTTGATGTCAACAGCCATAATATGAAAATGTTTTATAAATTGAGTGCAGTACAAATGCAGAGTATGATGAATGGTACTTCACTGCTTCCTACAATCTAAACCTTTTTATGGACCTCCTCTTCATTCCTTTTTGCCCGGTTCTCAGTTTCATTTTCCCCTATTACCTCATTTATCTTCCTCCCCCCCCCCCCCACTTTTTTTCCCCCCTCCCTGCCTTAGTCTAGCCTTTGGTATCTTAATAGCACCTATAGACATGGCTTTTTTTTTTTTTTTAAGATTTTTTTTTTTGCGAGGGAGACAATGAGAGACAGAGAGCATGAGCGGGAGGAGGGTCAGAGGGAGAAGCAGACTCCCTGCTGAGCAGGGAGCCTGATGTGGGACTCGATCCCGGGACTCCAGGATCATGACCTGAGCCGAAGGCAGTCGCTTAACCAACTGAGCCACCCAGGCGCCCTAGACATGACTTTACTGAGAGATTCTGGGTTAAAGTAACTAATCTCTTATCTGGACCTTACAAAGAATGTGTGTCTCCATCCATTTTACACATAGCTCTCAGCAGAAGGGTGAGATGTTTTCTTTGAACCTATGGCCTTGTGTTCTGCAGATCAGGGAAACCTTGCTTCACTAAAGAGAAAAAATATTTTAAACCAAGAACACTTAATTACCTTTATTTATGTCAGAAGAAGGTATGATAACCCAGAAAAGATTTGTGACCAGGAAATGTTCTGAGCAATGAGATGATACTTTATAAGAAGCACAGGATAGATAAATTTGGGATGGAATCTGGGGATGAAAGAAAGGAGGCAGTTTAATCTCTCCTTCAGGGGCAGGTTGTCATTGTGACTTATTTTGTATGCCAAAAGGATACGAATTGCCAAAAGGATAAATACACCCACATCCAAATGTACCAGAATGCATTCCATAGTGGAATTTGAGTGATTGGAATTTACCCCCCCTCTTCATTGGTCTGGTTAAACAGAAGTTGGCTGGGGATTAAGAGGAAGTCATAGCTATCTCTTAATCACTCTGAGTAGTCATGAACACAAATGAATTGCTCTGGGTGGTCTACATTGGACTGAACTATATCAATTTCATGCACAACTTCAAAGTTGTTTACTTGCTGGTTTTCTTAGAACTGTTGAAGACAAAAGCTACAGAGAAAGGACAACCTTAAATTTGTCTCCTTCATAAGTTATTTATAGACTTAATATTTGGGGACCGCTGTAAGTCCTTATGCAGTAAGATAGGAAAAGGTTGAATATTTCTGTACTGTTACTTCATGTTATAAAAAGATTGAGAAAAACTTACACTGAATAATTGCTTTGCTTTTCCTTCCAGGAATACCCAGTTTGGTTAATAGAATAGGCAAGTATTGTCAGCTGTGGATTATAGATTTTTTAAGAGAAGCTTCTACATATTCATGAACTAGAAGAAACACAAGACAGCTATGTGGTAGGGATCCTAATGTCTTTTATCATATAAATATTACACAAAGAAAACTTACATTAGGTATCAAAAAAAAAAAAAACCCTTTACAATCTGTACACTTGTTTTTTCCTTGCAGTTCTTTTACATTATAGATCCTTAGACAGAAATTCACAAACGGTCAGTAAAAAGGCAAGTCAGTTACCAAAGAAAATAAGTGACATTGCTGTTGACAAAACAAGATCTGTCCTTGTTTTGACAGATAAATATGTGCTCAAACATATTTCAAGTCAGTATAAGACATAAAAGTTTGTGTCATAGGCTTGACAAACCAAAAATTTTTTCCAGATTATTTCTGTAGATTCTACTAATCCCATGTAGCTCAATGCAAATATTAATTTACATGCTATTCGTCTTTGGCCCTTGCTGGACTGTAAAAACTTGTGATAAAACTACTGCTTCTTGCCCATTTTAGTGATAAATTCTGGAATGCTTAAGACCCTCTAGCCATATTAATTTGATTAAGGGAGCTCTGACCTTTGGAATTTTAGGATTACAGAATATGTACACAGGAGTTAACTGGGGTCTGTATTTTTGGATGGAGGATAAGGAGAATGAAAAATTGTGTTACATGACTGTGTTTATAAAGAAACTGAGCTGTACCACCTTTGGTCTGTATCAGAGGGAAAGAATAATAGTGAAGAACATGAATTTTAAAGATTATCATAAATTCATGTTTGCTACTTATGTGGACAAAGTGCTTCTTAACTTATATACCAGGTGATGGACCTAAGCAGCCTGCTCTGGGGATTTCTGAGTTTGGAATTAGGAAAGGGTAAATTTGTGCATAAAGTAATTCTTTAAAACACTAACTGAAAGCCACTCACTAGTTTTGTCACTAAAGCTTAGTACAAGGAGGTATATGCAAATGGAAACTGGTCTTTCATCAGATAAACTTCTTAAATGATCTGAATCCTCCAAGGAAATTACACTGTATATACTTTGTATTCTGAATAAGATTTGGTGGTGTTGGTTTTAGGTTTCGAACTTTTAATTGTTGAGATTATGTTCTTGGCAGTTGGTCAACTTGCGTATGAATTTCAAGTATGCTTGGTACCAAGCTTTCCAAGCATGGAAGGTAAGTTCCCCTCAAAAAGAAAGTGATTATATGAACTTTTTAGAGAAATCATATAGATCGGGAGTTTGTAAACAGTTGCCCAATTTAATGAGCCCATTTATCATTAACCTTCATTAATAGAAAACTCATAGGACTCAATTGTGATTTTGCTGAACAGTACATCTTACATTGTGAGCAATTTCTTTATCTTGTAACAAACTAACTTTGTGGATTTGTGTAAATGACAAAGTTGTTTAATTCACCCCCACATTTTATGAAGGAGGAAACAAAATTCCAAGTCACATGCATGCTTGATATTGTATATACATAATATATACACATATACACGTTCTCAGGTCTTATTGAGGCCTCTGATCCAGTTAGCTTATTTCTAAATAATATTAATAGTGAAGACAGTATAGCACAAAATCAGTTCAAAATAGTTACTTCAAAAAAACAAAAAAAAGATAAAGATGGCACATGAAAAGTTAAACAGATTCTTTCAAAAGTCCATAAATTCCTAATTCTATCCCAATGTAGGTATATGAGGACAAATACCACATTGGCAGGTTTTTTTTAGCTACCTGGCCGGTCATGTATTAGGTGGTATTAGCTATGTTTCCAGGTGTTTAGTTTGCCTACTTACGACTGTGAGACTAAAACTGTGAGTTGACCTGTAATTGGATAATGTCTTAGTCCCCTCCCCCACCCCCAAATTTGTGGCTCCATCTCTAGAAGTTTACTTCTAGATAGATATCCTCATTGTTTTGAACTTTGAACTATATCAATTTCATGCACAACTTCAAAGTTCTTTACTTGCTAGTTTTCTTAGAACTGTTGGATTAAAGACAAAAGCTACAGGGAAAGGACAACCTTAAATTTAACCTTAAATGAGATATCCTCATTTGAGTATGAGCCTAGTGAGGAAGGAGTGGGAGAAGGCTAATTGATTAGATATCTGAGGTAGTGAAGTGGGAACCGGATTCGAAAAGAATTCTGGAATATAGAGGAAGTGAGTCTATTTTTGGAATGTGAGTCTCTTCCCACGGTAAGCAAGCTTTGGATGGAACAAAATAAATCTTTCAGTTCACAGAAAACCCACAGAAGGAAGCAAATTAATTTTCCAGGGATTTTAGTTCTGAGGAAGAAGTAGCTACACAGGCCACGTAGGAGAAGCAACCTTGTCAGAAATCTGTAGTCCTATTTTTATCAAGCTGTTGGTATTAGTTCCAGGGGAAAAAAAAGTTTATGGTGTGAATGGCAAAAATTCTGCATTCTTCAGCCTTCCTACCCTTTGACTCAGCTGACTGGAAGAGAAGACAGTTCCACTCATGAGGAGTCTTTCAAGTAAAAAAAAAAAAAAAAGCTTTTCTGTTTTAAAGTACCCTTTTAAAATAACTGGTCGATCTAAGGTTCCCCAGGTGTTTGTGTTACTCATTTTAGTTAAGAGATCTCTGATATACTCCTCTACATATTGTGCTTCTTCAGTTTCTGGGCTAAGAACAGTCACCGTGCTCCATTTGAGCTAAGACATGATTGCTTCTTGCAAGTTGGAGGGTTTCTATTTTCTTCTGTGCATATTTCAGTTGGATCTTTAGAGCGTCATTATCTGCTTTCAGGGTATTTATTTCCTAAAGGGAAAGGAGAATGAGGTATGTTAATAAAGCAGCAATGAATAGCAAATCAGTTACAATATTGGGAGTACTACACTTGATTGGCGTTTTCTATGCACTATGGCTGAGAATTAAAAACTTTTCAAGACGTTTATTTTGCTCTGAATAGAAAATAACAAGTTTAATGTCAAGTGAGCATGTGCAAACAGCAATTAGTTTTTGTTATCATATCAAGATGGCTAGCAGGCAGAATAAACCATTCCCAGACAAGAGGTGGATATAAAACCTTTGGATGCTGTATAGTGGGAGACCTAAACTTGGCAGAAATGGAGTCTCTCATCAGGTCTGAGGTATGAAAACAGTGACTCAGAATACTGTCATATGAAATATTATAGTTCATTTAGTCTAAGTTTTTTCCCACCAAATCACTGAAAAGTAATGGACTCCTTTGATAAGGAATTTTTTCCTACCCCCTAAACTGGGATTTAGTTATCTAATTTTCTGCGGCATTGACTTCCAGGCTACTGCCTTTTTTATTTTTTTATTTTTTTATTTTTTATTTTTTTTATTTTTATTTTTATTTTTTTTATTTTTTTATTTTTTACTGCCTTTTTTAAATTGAATTATATTTGACCTATGACATTGTATAAATTAAGATGTACAACATGTTATTTTGATATGTTGTAATACTGCCATTGTAAAGACAATCAGCACCTTTCATTGTTATAATATCCTTTTTAGTAATTGGAATAATTTAAGTTCTGGACTCAGCAGGTTTGAGGATTATAGTACAGTATTGTTTATTGTTCATTGTACCATGCATTGTATCTTTCAGGCTTATTTACCACTCGTTGTAAGTTGGTACCCTTAAACAACATCTGTACCTCCCATCCTTCCCCTGGTAACCGCCATTTTATTTTATTATTTTTATTTATTTGAGAGTGAGCAAGAGAGAGAGAACACAAGCTGGGGGGAAAGGCAGAGAGAGAGGGAGAAGCAGCCTCCCCGCTGAGCAGGGAGCCTGATACGGGACTTGATCCCAGGACCCTGGGATCATGACTTAAGCCGAAGGCAGACGCTTAACCAACTCAGCCACCCAGGCGCCCCATAACCACCATTTTAATCTGTTTTTGCAAGTTTGGCTTTTTAAAATTCCATATATAAGTGAAGTCATACAGTACCTGTCTTGCTCTGTCTTGTCTCACTTAGCATAATGTGTTTGAGGTCCATCCATGTTGTTGCAAATTCCCTTCTCATGGCTGAATGATACTCCATTGTGTGTGTGTGTGTATATACACATTGTCGTTGTCCATTCATTGATGAGGTATGGACACTTGGGTTGTTTCCATATCTTGCCTATTGTAAATAATGCTGCAGTGAACATGGGGGTGTATCTGTCTTTTTGAGTTAGTATTTTTGTGTTCTTCAGATAAATACCCAGAAGTGGAATTGCTGGATAATATGATAGTTTTGCTTTTAATATTTGAGGAACTTCCACGCTGTGTCCCATAGTGGCTGCACCAATTTACATTTTCACCAACAGGGCACAAGGGTTCCCTTTTCAGCACATCCTAGCAAGCACTTGCTATCTTGTTTTCTTGATGCTAACCATTCTAACAGGTGTGAGTTGATAGCTCATCGTGTTTTGATTTGCATTTCCTTGATGATTAGCGATATTGAGCATCTTTTTATGTACCTGTTGGCCATTTGTATGTATTCTTTAGAAAAATGTCTCTTTAGTTCTTCTGCCCATTTCTAAATCAGATTTTGTTGTTGTTGAGTTGTATGAATTCTTTATATAATTTGGATATCAACCCCTTTATCCAGTTTATGGTTTGCAAAAATTTTCTCCCATTCTGTATATTGCTTTTTCATTGTGTTCTTTCGCTGTGCAAAAGCTTTTAAGTTTGATGTAGTCTCTATTTGTTGAAGAGACTATCCTTTCCCCCTTGGGTGCTCTTGGTACCCTTATCAAATATTAGCTCACTGCATAAGCAAGTTGTAATTCTGGGCTCTCTTTATTCTTCCATTGGTCTATGTGTTAGTTTTTGTGCCAGTACCATACTGGTTTTATTACTGTAGCTTTGAGTGTAGTTTGAAATCAGGAAGTATGGTATCTCCAGCTTTGTTCTTTTGTGGTTCCGTACAGATTTTAGGATTTTTTTTTTTTTCTATTTCTGTAAAGAATGCTATTGGTATTTTAATAGAGATTGCATTAAATCTGTAGATGGCTTTGGGTAGTATGGACATTTTAACAGTTCTTCTGGTCATGAACATGGGGTATCTTTCCATTTGTTTCTGTCTTCGATTTCTTTCAGCCAAATCTTGTTTTCAAATTGTACAGATCTTTCACTTCCTTGGTTAAATATATTCCAAAGTATTTCATTGCTTTTGGTGCTATTATGAATAGGATAGTTTTATTTCTTTTTCAGATATTTCATCCTTAGTGTGTAGAAACGCAGCTGATTTCTGTATGTTGATTTTGTAGCCTGCAACTATACCTAAATTTTTGATTAGTTCCAACAGTATTTTGGTTCTTTTGGCGATTTTATAAATACAGACTCATGTCATTTGCAAATAGTGACAGTTTTACTTCTTTCCTGATTTGGATGTTATTTATTTCTTTGTCTTGCTTAATCACTCTAAGATTTTTAGTGATGTGTTGAATAAGAGTGATGAGAGTAAGCCTCCTTGTGTCTTGTTTCTGATCTTGAGAAAAAGCTTTAACTTTTTTTCCACTGAGTATCTTAGCTATGGGTTTGTCGTTTTGGGCCCTTATTATGTGGAGGTCTGTTCCTTCTATACCTGATCTGCTGCTGTTTTGTTTTGTTTTTAATTTGAAAGGGTGTTATATTTTGTCAAATGCCTTTTCTGCCTCTATTGAGATGATCATGCGGTTTTTCTTTCATTTTACTAATATGATGTATTACATTTATTGATTTGTATATGTTGACCTATGTTTGCATCCAAGGGATAAATCACATTTGGTCATGGTGTATAATCCTCTATTTTGAGTTTGATAATATTTTGTTGAGAATGTTTGCATTTGTACTCATCAGCAGTATTGGGCTATAGTTTTCTTATGGTGTCCTAATCTGGCTCTGGTATCAGGGTAATGCTCTTCTTATAGAATAAGTTTGGAAGTATTCCCTCAATTTTTTGGAAGAGTTTGAGAAGGATTGGTGTTAATTCTTCTTTGAATGTTTGGTAGGTTTCACCAGTGAAGCCCAGTGTTGAGTGCATATATATTACAACTGTTATATCTTGTTGATGTATCAAGCCTTTTACCATTATATAATGACCTTTTGTCTCTTGTTAACATTTTTGGCTTGAAGTCTGTTTTGTTTGACCTAAGTATGGCTATGCCCCATTTTCCTTGGGCTTCTATTTGCATGGAATATCCTCTTCCATCCCTTTACTTTGAGCTGGTATGTGTCTTTAGAGCTGAAATGAGTTTCCTGTAAGCAGCATAGAATTGGGTCTTATTTTTTATCCATCCAGCCACTCTGTGCCTTTTGATTGGTGAAACCAATCCATTTATTTTTTAGAGTGATTATTGTTATGTAAGGACTTACTACTGCCATCGTATTTGCCTTCTGGTTGTTTTCTATCTCCATTTTCTTTTCCCCCTCTATTTCTCTTTACTCTTGTAAAGTGTGATTTTTCCACGGTGATTTGAGCCTTTTTAAAAAATGTTTTACTTAGGGGCACCTGGGTGGCTCAGTCGTTACGCGTCTGCCTTCGGCTCAGGTCATGGTCCCGGAGTCCCGGGATCGAGCCCCGCATCGGGCTCCCTGCTCTGTGGGGAGCCTGCTTCTCCCTCTCCCTCTCCCTCTGCTTGTGTTCCCTCTCTCGCTGTGTCTCTGTCAAAAAAATAAATTAAAAAAAAAAGTTTTACTTAAATTTACTTAATTTTACTTAAATTCAATTTAATTAACATATTGTATTAGTTTCAGAGGTAGAATTTAGTGATTCATCAATTGCATACAACACCCAGTGCTCATTACATCAAGTGCCCTCCTTAAGGCCCATCACTCACTTACCCTATCCCTCCTCCCCTCCAGCAACTGTCAGTTTGTTCCCTATGGTTAAGAGTCTCTAATGGTTTGCCTCCCTGTTTTCCTCTTACTTTATTTTCCTTCCCTTTCCCTATGTTCATCTGTTTTGTTTCTTAAATTCCACATGAGTGAAATCATATGGTACTTGTCTCTGACGGACTTTGCTTAGCATGATACCCTCTAGTTCCATCCATGTTGTTGCAAATGGCGAGATTTCATTCATTTTGCTTTGTGATTACCATGTGGCTTACATGTAAAACATCTCATAATTAAAATAGTCCTTTTTAGCTTGAAACTTTATAGGTGACCAAAGATAAAGTGCTATCCACTTTTATTCCTTCCCTTTTATATTTTTGACATTACAATTTTTTTTATGCTGTGAATTCATTGAGAAATTATAGTAGCTATAGTTATCTTTAATGCTCCGTTCCTTAGGCCATTCTTCTACAATTAAGAGGTTGAACACACCATTCTAATTAGTTAGTTTTCTGATTCTGCTTATTTCTCATCATTGCTGGAGTATGGTGTACTTTGATTTGCTTTTATGTCACTAAATCCTTTCATTTCAGCTTGAAGAACTACTTTCAGCATTTCTTGCAAGGCTGGTCTAGCGGGGTTGAGTGCTTTCAGTTTTTGTCTGAGAAAGCCTTTATTTCACATTCATGTCTGAAAGGGGACTACTGGATGAAGTGTTCTTGCTAGCAGTTTTAATACTTTGTCATTTCACTTTCTCATGGCCTATAGAGTTTTTGCTGAGAAACCTGCTTATAGCTAATGGGGTTCCTTCATAGGTTTCTCTTTTTTCCCAGTTTTTTTCTCCCTCTCCCTCTGCCCCTCCCCACCATTCATGCTGTTTCTCGCTCTCTCAAATAAAATCTTTTAAAAAAATAATAATTGGGGGCGCCTGGGTGGCTCAGTTGGTTAAGCAACTGCTTTCAGCTCGGGTCATGATCCTGGAGTCCCTGGATCGAGTCCCGCGTCGGGCTCTCTGCTCGGCGGGGAGTCTGCTTCTCTCTCTGACCCTCCCCCCTCTCATGTGCTCTCTCATTCTCTGTCAAATAAATAAATAAAATCTTAAAAAAAAAATAAAAAAATAATTGGGTGGTCCATTACCTTCTTGGACTTGTATTCTCCATTTTCTTCTCTAGGTTTGGGAAGTTCTCAGCTAATATGCTTTCTGCTTCTTTTTCCTTCTATATTTTTCCCATCATAACTGATAGCTCTTATAGGGTTTCTTACTTTTTTAAAAATCTTAGTTCCTCTTCTCAATCATTTCTAAATTCCTGTCCTCTAAGTTGCTAGTTCTTTCCTTGATCTGCCTTATTTCCTAAGCTTTCTAGTGCATTCTTCATCTCATTGAATTCTTGAGCTCCAGAATTTGGTTCTTTAAAAATTTCAATCTTTTTGACAAAGAACTCCTGTTCATTAATTTTTTTCCATAGTTCATTGAATAACCTTTCTGAGTTTTTCTTGTTCTTTAAAACAGCTATTTTGAATTCTTTATCAGTTAGATCCCAGTATTCCATGCCTTTGAGTTTGGTTGCTGGAATTCTTTTCTCTTTGTGATGCCGTGAGATTCCATAGCGTCTCTGCCATCGTATTTGAAGTAGTAGCACACACCTTTCTTAGTTGTTTACTTTGTTACAGTTCAACAGACTGGCATTTAAAGTCCTTTGGTTTTTCATAAGGTGGCCACATACTATAGCTCAAGTTTTGGGTTTCTTTTTACCCAAGCCGGCTCTGGTGCTGCATTTGGGAGTGTGCCTTAAAAAAGTTGATCTAGAGAGTACTGGCGGTAGAGGTGCAGGGCTGCCCACAGCATTATGGGGGGATCCTCGAGTGGGGGTACTCCCACACGTCCATGGGCAAACCTGCTATGAAACCCTGAGGGAGATGGGGCGGGGTGGGGGGGTATGTGTTCCTTTAGTGCCCTTTGTTATTCTTATCTGCCTCTTTCCTCTCCCTCCCCCAAGCGCTGGAGGTCCTTCCTCAGAAACCTGGGGTGCTGTTGGAGAGAAATGGGTCCCTCCAGCTACAGCCTATGCAGCCAGGGGGCCAGTCACTCACCACTTTAGCTTTCCCTGCCCTCTGTGAGGGAGGAAGCCCAGTGCATTGCAGTGTTGTTCTGGGCAGGGAGGCTGACTCCTAAGATTCTCCTCAGCCCCCAAACTCTTCTCGGTCTGGCTCCGTTCCCAGTGGGACCTCCACAACTTCTGTATCTTCCTTGCATGTCTGACCTGGTTTGCACTCTCCAGTGTTGCTCTTGCCCGCTCATGGCAAGATGGGGTGGAGCAGGCTCGCCACCTCCCTTGGATCTGAGGCCTAGCCACCTACTTTCCGGAGCACAGGCAAGTACAAATCTCCTGGGTATTCCGTGAGGTCACTTTTTGTTTGGTTATGAATAACCGGTTTGTTGTAAATAAAAGGGGAGAGTAGAAAGGTACGGCTCCCATTGCCTTGATGATGTCTCCAGTCTTCTGTGAGTCCAGTGTTCTTACATTATACCATATTGGTTACTCCCTCCCTGCAACTGTAGGCAATTTCTGGGTAATCTGGATACAATGAGTTGTTTCTCAGTGGAAATTTATCTAGATTGCTATGTGCTAGGTAAATGTGTTCCATGATAGTAATTATTCACGATCTGAAGCAAACCATAGAGAGCATGGAATCCTGCCTTGTATTTTACAGAGGACTAAGTATGGCACAGTATATCTGGTATTAGAATCACAAATGTAAATTGCTTTTGACAGTTTCTACCCCTGAAGAGAAAGGGCTTTCTTTGTGTAACCCACATTTTGTCACCTTCTGATTGACTTGATTCTTAAAGCAGGTCTTAAAAAACACTCTGAGCCAGAGAACACCTTTCATCCAGAAAATCTGTTATTTTTTCCTATGTTCCTCCTAATATTATGTTCTTTGTTCCAGGCACCAAGCCAAGAGTTTCACATGTATTGTTTCCTCAGATGTTTCTGTATTCCAGCTTCTAGGAGTCTGACAGGGAAGGTACAACACTGAGAAGGCAGGGGATTCTGAGGCCCTTTTGGGCAATTTCACTATGTAATATGTTGAATTATTTAAGGAATTCTCGCTAGGTGGATGTTGGTTTTGTGTTTGTACTGCTAGGCCTCCAAAAACACATTGCCAACCTTGATGTTTTAGAAAAAAGAAAACCGTTAAGGATCTAAGCTTCCCTCTCTCTAAAATGACTTAAAGTTACCTAACAACTACTGGTAGGAGCCCCTCTGAGCCAGCCCTCACCATGAGCCCTGTACTTTAAACAAAAGGAAGTACATCAGTTATTGGCCCTACAGAACTGAGTATTAGGGCAACTGCCTGTTGTCCCCTTTCCTTTCTTACCCTCTTTCATTATGCTCTTTTCTCTAACCTTGGAACCATATTCCCAAACTCCTATTCTTCCTTTCTTGGTAAACTTTATCATGCCTTTATGGGGCACCTTATAATTAGGACATTGTAAGCTGAAGAAAAAGCAACTCCTGGTACAGTTGTTACCAGTTTATAGATTATATTCAACTGTGCATCTGCCAGATTCTGTCTAATGTATATAGAAGATCAGCACATTCTCTGATGTGAGTTTCATTTAGAAACAGGGCTGTGGTGTGAGCACAGTAAAGCTGATCAGTAGAAACTTTTTTTACTCAAAGCACCTTTGGGTCCTGGCACCAACACTTTGAAATGGCAATAGGGAGCCCAGTATATCTTGTTCTACTCATGTAATGTGAGACATAGCCTCCACTGGTTTGAAAGAAAGCCAGAATCCTTCCTTTTCTTCTTTGGCTTTATCCTGCTAGTAATCAACCTGGTCAGAATCTTCAGCTTATGGGGCGCCTGGGTGGCTCAGTCGTTAAGCGTCTGCCTTCAGCTCAGGTCATGATCCCCGGGTCCTGGGATCGAGCCCCACATCGGGCTCCGTGCTCGGCGGGAAGCCTGCTTCTCCCTCTCTCACTCCCCCTGCTTGTGTTCCCTCTCTCACTGTGTCTCTCTCTGTCAAATAAATAAACAAAATCTTAAAAAAAAAAAAAAATCTTCAGCTTATATGTTCTTCCCTCAGAGTCTGAAAGAAAAGAAAAGGAAGGTACCTGTTCCAGCTCTTGGTAAGTTGGGAGTCTGAGATGACGGAGATCCTCCTTTGATTTTATGAGGGATTCTTTATTCTCCCACTTGACAAAAGCCCGCTTTCTGACCAAGACGGGGCTAGGGCATGGAGATGTGGGACTGGGAAGCACATACAGAGTATCCTGGGCTGTCTTCCTTGGGGAGGACAGCATCAAGGTCCCCGAAGGACCCTCACTGCCAAGCCAAGACAGTGATTCCGTCTGGGTAGCCTTGTGGGCGACAGTCCTCTTCAGCCGAACAGAAATCTTCTGTGAGGACACTCCCATGAGCATGATGGTCCGATCTTTACTTTCCTCACTGTGTTCCACTGCCTCGCCATTAGGGAATGTGAAAGGCCCTTCCTCAGGTGCTGTAGAAAGATACAGGACATATTAGTATTCTATCTCAGAAAAGCAGACTCTGATGAGACCTTTCTTATTATAGGAGTTCCATGGGCCCAAAGTGGTCTCCTTTTCAGGCACCCTCTTCAGGGGGTGAAGGGACCTGAAGTGCAGGTGCTTTGCTGGTGAAGCCACAGCCACTGGTGCCAGGCTGCATCTGCCCTGAGGAAAGGACATTTTTCTATTTGCACAAAGGTTGCCTAGAGGATTTCAGTTGCTGCAGATTAGTTTGAAGCAAGGCCCTGTAGAGAGAAATGGTCCATACAGATTTTTCTGTGGACATTGGGTTGGGGTAGCTCTCAGCATTCAAGTTTTGGTCCTCTTGCAGGTGGCCTCCAGGAGCTGGTAGGAATTTTCTTTGGGACCTATTTGTACAGTGGGCATAGCTCAACTGTGAGAGGGAAGTATGTCTCAAAATGTGTTGCCCTCACATTCTGGTTTTGTCTCAACCAACACGCTCGCCCAGGACCCAGTGTGGATATTAACCATTAGGAGTAATTTCTTGGACAAGTAAAGAGTGGATATATTTGAGATGATTGGTAGGCTGTAAGACAGACTATTGTTTTGCAATGACTCAACAGTAATTCTGGGCTGTTTAACTACATCATTTATAAAGAAACAGATTTTAGATTCTGTTGAGTCTTTCATTTAATGAGGATAAAAAACACTTTATATAATCATTTCATTTCCCCCAAATCCTGGAAGGTAACTTTTTTAAGAAACATGCATTTCTAGTAAAATGTTACGTATTTTTAACTACTAAACCTTGTAGCCAAGACATTGGATTGGTATAGTCAAAGTGGCTTCTGGACAACAAAAATAGTTACCCAATTGGCATTTATAATTTGAACCAACAGTTCTAATACTTGAAACCTTATAAGGATCCTAATTAATTTTTCCCCAGCGGAACATAAATTGACATGAAGTATCAGAATATTTAAATTATGTTTGGAGTATTATGCATGATTTTTTTGTATCTCGCATTTTACAACCAGACTTTCATGCTGCTCTCTGCCACCTTTCTCCCATGAAAATTTGTATTTTATGTGACAGAACTGATATGTAATTCTTGAAATGTATCTTCCACAGTGGTGTCTGTCCTTCCCCCCCTTAATAAAAACCACTGCAAAGGCAATCTTTCCTCCCTGAAATCTTTATCCTTCCCACTTCATTTTCCAAGAGGAATGTTCTCTGTGCCTACTTACCATGGAGCAGGTCTTTGGCTCCCAATGAGCAAAGGCTGGATGTTGGCCCTCCAGCAGTGCTGTTCTCTGTGGGAGCTGCTGGGTTCTTGGCTCGCTTCTTGCACTCAAACACAACCAGATCTTTGCACTGTTTGTGGCAGTTCATCCCGCAGTCTGTGGATGAGACACCCTGATCAGGAAGTCTTTCGCTTTCTTCTCCAGAGTCTCAAAACCACATTGGTGCCGTGCTTTCTCGTCACACGTGCCTGTCCTAGTCTGGAGCTGGACACCTGCTATTCCTAATGAACCTAGTAGTCTCATTTGGTCAACTCTGGATCTCACAATCTTGTTGCAACCCTTATCAGAACCAGAAGCAGCGTCCACTGTCTTGGAGGGAAGTGGTCTCTTAGTCATTCTGCATATACTGCCATATACTACAGAGACCCCCCCCCCCCCCCGGAAGCTTGCAGCTCTTATGTCTTACTCTTTCTTCCTTGCCATAGAAGTCTCCTCTCTTTCACGCCTGAATTTCTCCAGTTAAAAGGAAGGATAGTTAGGTCTGGAGGAATCTACTGGTAAGAGGAAAGTTGGCAAGGGCCTTTGTATGTGAAGACTTCTGTTCCCAAAGTGCCTTTCTTTGGAGACCCGCCTTTCCACGACCATATGAAAGCATCATATCCTACCCGCCATCCCTAGTTCCGGGACAACCCACACAGAGAGAGGACCTAGCAAGGAGGAGCTTCATAACTGGTCGGTCAGGCATTCCTCTTCTCTGTGGTGGCAGTCACTGTCAGTGGGTGCTCTAGGGAAACCAGTTTAGGAATGAGGCTGGGAGCCATGCTGAGAAGTTGCGGATTCAACAGACAACTCCTCTGGGTAAAAAATGCTTTATTAGGAGATCCTCTGAGACCAGGCAAAACAACACAGTCGACAAAGCTGAGCCTTACCTTTACATCGATATCCTTGTTTGATCACTCCCCAGAGCTATGAGACAGACAAGAGATGGTTAGAGTGTACCAGCCATCATTCATCTGTCCGGTATGAGGCTAGACAGTGGCATCCATTCTTTATTTTCCTTCATTGTGCTTTCTTCCTCAGGTGGGAAGGAAACCTCCTTTATCTTCCCCATCATAACTCTCCTGACCTTAAATTGCAAACACGAAGAGTTTGTTCTGATCAAAGTCAGATGTTCAAGAAGCTCACTAGCATGGACTTAGGAGGCCTTCCTGAGGCCTGAAGTAGATGAATCAAAGAACAAACTAGTTTCTTGGGACTCCAAACTAAAGAACAAGCATACAGAATCCTGGGGTCAGTGGAGGGGGTTGGTCAGAGAGGGGCAGAGCCACATGACTTCTTAAAAGCCATTCCTTTTGGGCGCCTGGGTGGCTCAGTTGGTTAAGCGACTGCCTTCAGCTCAGGTTATGATCCTGGAGTCCCGGGATCGAGTCCCATATCGGGCTCCCTGCTCAGTGGGGGGTCTGCTTCTCCCTCTGACTCTCTTCCCTCTCGTGCTCTCTGTCTCTCATTCTCTCTCTCAAATAAATAAATAAAATCTTTAAAAAAAAAAAAAAAGCCATTCCTTTTGAAGGGGAAAGGGCAGGGTTGTCTCATAATTCTTTTCTCTCACAACGGCAACTATAATTACTATTTCTATAGTTACTATAATTACTATGACTATAATTACTTAAAAAATATATCCTCGGGGGCTCCTGGGTGGCTCAGTTGGTTAAGCGACTGCCTTCGGCTCAGGTCATGATCCTGGAGTCCCTGGATCGAGTCCCGCATCGGGCTCCCTGCTCGGCAGGGAGCCTGCTTCTCCCTCTGACCCTCCCCCCCTCTCATGTGCTCTCTCTCAAATAAATAAATAAAATCTTAAAAAATATATATATATATATATATAATATATATATACACACACACATATATATATCTCCTCAGTTCAACAGTTCTTACCATTTGTCCCAGGCCTCATAGACCAGAGGAAGAAATCAATCTGGGAGAAATGGTAAAGATGAGTTCAAGTAAAAACCATGCATTTGAGAACGAGCTTATTCTAGGTGTTTGTGTAGGCTCTAAGCTGGGGTGGTTGATAAGGATGGTGAGGTCTCTGCCTGGCTTAATCACTTAAATTGTCTCATACCCCTCCCCAAGTTCAACCTAAAGCATTCAAAGAACAACTTACAAATCCAGCACAGTTGTCACAGAATGTAGGTTTCAGATAGGTGGTCTCTTGAAAGTTGTGAGGAAAGCCCAGGCCCAGTTTGGAGTAGATTGAGCTGGCCCTCATGAAGTAGGCTGTGATCTCATCTCTGCTGATGAGGCCTTCCCTGCCAGCAAGGGACAGACAAGGTATGAGTGGGGTCTGGGGTAACAAGAGTGGCTTCTAGCCTTAGAAACTCACCTTTGTTTTTACCCTTATGTGGTAGGTACAGTATGTACTACTGGGGGCTATCTCCATGAGCCCTGCTCTTAGGTAGGGATGCATGGATAGCACGTCATTAGTAGGTGAGATGGCACTATTCATTTCTACAGAGGTGTTCTTTGGCTAAAGTAGGTTTTCCTAGCCAATTTAAAGACTCAAAAAAGAAATGGAAACTACAGGGAGAGAAGTGCCTTATGCTGTGGTTTCTGACTTTAGACAGTACATGACACATAACTGGAGCCCACCGACCATCCCTTTGATTTCATACAGAGAACCAACATAGAGCTTATGTAACCTTCTGAAAAGTAAATAGACAAAGTATTAAATAATTTTTTTCTCACAATCTGCAGAACCAAGCAAAGAAGGAACACTAAAGGTTTTCTTATTTATAGTTGATTATTCCTTAACGGGCAGATTTATGAAATCTTCAATTCTGAGGCATTTAAAACACATGTGTTTTTCATGGTCTGTTGTCCAAACGAAAACCAGACCGGCATTGATTTGATGATTGCTCCCTGAGCACCAAGAGCCTCCTAAGCCTGTACACAAATGCTCACCTGTCTTTGTCCATCACACAGAAGGAAAAGGGAAAACTGGCAGCAATCTTTTCAAACTCTTCCTGAGAAATGTATCCATCCTGGTCATGATCATAGTTCTTGAAGACGGACTGTGGAAAAAAAGGAGTTTCTTTGGTGATTACCAAAGCGAAACCAATCATTTCTCTCTTGAGCCAAATGACGAAGGGCTGGAACGTCTGATAAGAGAGAACGAGGAAATGTGCTCCTGAAGCTGCCACAGAGAAGCAGCAGGGCACGTGGCAGGGCTGCCCTGGGCCCGCATCTGCAGGGGGCCAGGGGCTGGCGGGTCCATTAGCACATCGATGGTGCCACCTCCCTGGCCACTGGGTGCTCCTCGCTCCTTGCACAGGGGCTGTTCTCCCTCTGCTCTGCCCCTCTTACAGTGCTTCTGCTACCAGCCCAGCGGGAAGCGCTCCTTCCCCCTTAGTCCTCCACTGCTCAAGGTTCTGTCACTGGCTGGCTCTCCCTTTTCTATTACTACACTGGATTAGAAACACAGAAGTAGGTATCCCTCCTCCACAGTAACAGTGAAGAGAATCAAGAGGGCCAAAAATTTCAGTATTAGATTCTCCTTATTATCCTTACTTAAACTTTTTTCTGATGCCTCTCTGCCTCCCAAATCAACTGCCACCCTTAAATATATGCTCTCCTACTAGGTCTTCAAGAGGGAGCACACCTCCCCCAACGTGAGGCCCAAGTGCGTTTGCAATGTACCAGGCACCGTATGAGAAGCGGTTCCCCGTGCTCACTAGGAACAGGTTTCAAGTTTCCCACCTTTGTGTTTCTGCCACTGTGGGCACCCCCTCCCCACCCCCTGCATATAAAGCTAAGCCAGGCTGTGCCTTGCTTTTGTCTGCTGAAATACAGCTGTACTTACATCCACCATCCTCTGGACATGTTTACTTATGGTCTTTGGGTCCGGTTTGGGAGATACTCCAGAGGCCCAGTCCACCACTACTGGTGGTTTTGAAGGTGTTAGTGGCTGAAATGAAATATTCAGAGAAATCCCCATGACTAGAATGCAGTACAACCCACAGCTCCTTCCTTTCCCACTACCTGATGGCCACACTGTGGACAACCGTCAGCTCTGTGCAGGGGCAAGGAGCTGAGAGCCCACGTGGAATTGAAATCTACAGTTGTCATCTTGGCCAATGCAAATGTGCTTCACAGCTGACAAAGCGCTCCTCACACATATTCTCTTCATCTACAGATAACTCAAAATTCTCCATTCCCTCTGCATTATTAAACCTTTCGTCAGAGCTATCAGCACAGTGGCTCATTTAAATTTCCTCTCTGTTCTCTAGTTCCTAAAGACGTAGATGAGGAGAAAAATAGCTGGAACATAGGCAGGACAACACAAGGAAAAAAGTCTGAGGCTTGGACAAGCGGAGATGGAATCCATTCCTAATTTGAGACTTGGCCCAAATGAAAATCTCTTCCAAAAATGGGAGAATGTACCCTTTCCATTGAAATGCCCTCTAACACCCTGAAAATGGAACCTGCCAAGTATTTTTAGTGAACAGCTTTCATTACAGTTGCAGCTAAAACTTGATTCTTCTGTGTAGACACAGTGAAATCCAGCCACCTGAACAGAGAAGTTGGATTACTTATGTGCGGGTACCTCCCCCCATTGAGTACTACGTGTTTGGGGGCTGGGAAGCTTCCCAGGAGACTGGGGGCAAGGGGGAGATACCGATCCTTCAGAAGGCAGGCTGAAATTTTCACCTGCCTGTAGGAGAGAGGCAGGCCAGACGACTTGTGAGAGTCCTATTGGGCAGTGCCAGGACTGCGCTGTTTTGAGGACTTCTCAGCACAAGAGGTCAAAACCCCAGCAGACTGCTTTTTTGACCCAGATGAATATAGGATGATCAGTCTTTTCTAACTGGGATGCATGTGCTTATCAACAAGTCAGAGAAGAGAAACAACTGATGTGGGGATACTTTATAACAAACAGGAAGGAGATGTCACTATGGCCCGCAACTCTCCCTTCTCTACTTGGTAAGTCACTGACTGCATCACTCACTGGGATGTGCTTAGGGCACATAGTCATTTACTGTTCCTATATTCGTCTCATCCCTTCAAGTAGACTACGGGCTCTTTATGGTCAGGAACTAATGATACATATGTTGAAGCTCTGTTCCTAGCATGAGGTTGGGCACATAGTGGAAATACTTATTAAACTGAATAAAAGTTTGTTCCTTAAGATGATGACCTCAATGAGCAGCCTGTAAAGTACCTGTTACATGCAGTAATCCTAGCATAGAAATATGAACAACTCACTGGGGCTTTGTGGTTCCTTGGTTCCCGAGCATAGGAAAGCTCGTAGATTTCATCTTCAGTGTAGTAGAGATCCAAGGACAACTGCAGGTCAAAGCAGAACACGGTTATTTGCTAGGATGCTGTTTGTCTTTCCCAGGGCTGATGTGTTTCTCTACTCTCCTAGGCCATTCTAATGGTTTGTTTTTACAATTCACAAAGTTTGGAGGGTGTAACACTTACTACTGTAATAGGGCAAGCATTAGTTCCTTCTTGTTAAAGTGTTTTTAAATTGTGAAGAGATGTCAAGATGTCCTCTTTTAAAATATGATTTAATATCTAAGCCTTTAGAGCTTAGGCAAAAGGCCCTATCTGGTCAGATGGTCCATGCCTCACTTGTTCTCTACAACAGAACCCAGTTTAAGTGATAACAGATATTATTAAATGATATTAAGAGTTAATCAGTTTCATATATCTTAAAACCATAAAATCTAGAAGGGAGAGATCTTAGAAATAATCTTGTTCTTAACCTAGAGTCTGTGGATAGCTTCAAGAGGTCCAGAACTCCTATATATTTTTTATATTTTTCACAGTTTTCATCACATGATTTGTGATTCAAAAAAGTTAAGATCAGTACGTCTTTTCACAGATGATGTCTACGGCCAAGACCTGCTTTGGTCACCTCCCCAACTGCCGAAGGGCCTGGGATGTGAACCATGGGGCCCTATCAGAATCATGTGAGGGAAGAAGAGGCTGTAATAATTATGCCATTCTGCAAAAGAGCAGATTAAGAACTGTTTCATTTTAGAACTGCAAGAAGTTGCAAGTTATCCCAGAGACTCATCTCTGATTTACAGAGAAGAAAACAGATACAGAGTTACATGCCCACAGTCACACAGCTGGTGAACTACAGAATTGTGGGTCTGGAAGGGAGTTCATCTGATCTCACTCTGGACCCAAAGTGCAAATCTTGGTCTCCTGTACCACAAGTGTTCACCTATTCTTGACTTGAATGCCTCCACTTTGTTGTTGGGTTTTGTTTTTAACTCATTGCCTTACTCTTTTTTAAATGAGAATACACTGTCTCCTTCTCTTAGGAAGCTTTAGATCCTGATTTGCTATCAGCTCCTCCTGGAGAGTTTAGAATTGCTTTTGTAGAGGGGTAGGAAGGAGTTCCAGAAGTCCTAAGGGCATACTGTTTAAAAGCACAGCCTCTGGAGTCCCACCACCTGGATCTGAATCCAGGTTCTACTGCTTAATCATGTGTGGTACCCTGACCAATTATACCTTTGTGCCTCAGTACCCCTATCCATAAAACGGTGATCATCATAGTATCTACTTCCGAGAGTTTTTATGAGGATTCACTGAGCTAGTATCTGCTAGGCTGCAGGGAGTGGTGGGTGGCACCAGCTCGTCCTTAGTAACTGTCTCCTGTGGGAGCCTCACCGTCAGCAGGTGCACCAAGTCCTTGTTGGCCTCCAAGGGCGGGGCCACCTCTTGCAGCTGGACCAGTTCATTGATATGATTGTAAAGGGCCAGCAGCTTGTGGACATTGACCTTCCCATCTTCCAGATAGTCGGGCATGGCTTCGTACAGGGAGATGAGGTCCTTGAGGTGCACCCCCAGAATGGGGATCTTGAATTGGGTGCACTCCCCATAGGCCCGCCGGTAGTTGTCATAGTTTCTACAGGAGGAGAGCAGCTCGGTCATCTCACCCAGAACCTACAAAATAGAAGAGACCCAGTTACAGGTACCCACCAGGCAGCGTGTATTATCTGCAATACTGTCAGTCCCTCCCATGATTTCACCCCATCCCGAATTGGGCAGGAGGGGATTCATCTACAATTTGCATACTGTGACTCCCAAATTAAAAAACTCCACTTTATTTCAAATGTCAGTGTGTATCTACAAACACAAGGTATGCTTTACTTGATTATACTACATAACAGAAAAATTTTAAGTGTGGTCTTATCATTTTTATACTAATTTTTTAAAAGTAAAAACCTGAGATAAAAATTAAAAAGGTACAAGAATATATAGTACGCAGTGAGTGTCCCTCTGACCTCTGTCCCCCAGCCATGCAGCTGCCCTCCCTGGTGTTACCTGAGCACTTCCAGAGACACACGTGAAGTGTGCTGTTGAAGCGCTGACTATTGCCAACACGGGGAGAAGCTGTGGGACTTCAGTGGTCTCTAGCATGTTCATACTCTATGTTGTGCTCTGTGGGCCTTATCTCAGCGATGCTGAAGCGTGTGATACTGCATTCACAGACTGAAAACCCGCACCAGAGACCGATTCCCAGCAGAGGGCATGCAGGAGGATCAGGCGGAAGGCCTACGAAGCTCTTCCTGAGAGCCCACGCCCTGCCCCAGCCCTGAAAGGGGCACGGCTGCTCACCAGCACAGAAAGGGAGCGGCCAGAGCTGCGGTTCTCTACAAATACGCCTGGTTCAAGTGGGCAAGCAGTTCGCAGAACCCCAGTCCCCATGCATGACGACCAGCTTCCTCAGACGCAAAGACTGTCCACCAATCACGTTACAGCACAAAGGAACTATTTTAAATGCTGCTGGAAATTCTTTTAATAAAACTGTGGCCTAATAAGTACCACTTGTCTCCAGCGAAGGACTTGAGGCTTGGAGTTAGCCTCCCTCAATCACTATGAGCGGGCAGGAGAGCCTCCTTCTCACTCAACTCTCAGCAGATGGTGCCCGTGAGTGTGAAGTATGGAAGGGGCTCACAAGACGAGAGACTAACAGCAAAAAGGAGCTAGTTTTGCTTCCCTTGGGAGGTGAAATAAACTACTAGAGGAGCAAGGGGTTCTTGCCTTACTTCTGGCCTCACTAATCAGCTGTGCAGACCGCCCTGAGGGTCAAGCAGCTCCAGACATGGAAGCACTGCTGTGGGCTCCAAGCTGAAGAGGAGCAAGCTCGATCTTGCCAGCGAGACAGCACGAGAGCACGTTCGTCTCCATGACTGTCTCCCTCTGTCACTTCTGAGACATGGACAATCTTCTCAACGGTTCCACTGAGTTTCGCCAGAACTAGTAGGGAACTGGAAGGTGGGGGTGGGGTAGCATCCCCAGAGCTCAGGGTGGTGAGAGCAGGGATGACGAATCCTAGACTTCCCAAAAGCAGGTTGCACAGCTGGGAACAACAGGACAATGGGGCACAGACATGTCTCCCTAAGAAGAGCCTCCATGCAGCTCAGGAGGACAGAGGTGGGGGAGCTGGGGGTTGAGGTTAGTAAGGGAGGGCTGGGTGGTCCTCACGTGAGGCGGAAACGCTAAGAGAGCAGTTGTTAGCTAATCCATACCAAACAGCTGCATTTCTATCTTCAGTATATCTTAGTGGTTTGTATTCCTAATAGCCCCATGTTATGAAGAACTAAAGTCTATTCTCTAAAATCTAAAGAATGTAGAAAAGTGCATAGGGCACTTAAGAAAAATATTCCTCAGTAAGACACTATTACAAAATGGCACCTGAAAAGCTCATTTTCAACTCTCCAGAATGTCATTCTCCAAGAGGTCTGAATAGGTAGGTTTCTAATGTGTCACTCACTATACATATTTGACATACAAACTGAACTACAGTCAACTGAACCACTCTTTTAGGAAAACACTTTGGAATAAGTTGCTGGAGCAAGGGAGTCGGTATTACAGACCGTGACTCTGGCAGGACAGGAGAGAGGCGCACGGTATTGCAACTGACCGCAGGGACGCGTGCAGGGGACACCGAGGCCAGACTGAATCCCAGGCACTCTCAGACCTGGGATAGTCCCATCCTATGGTTTTCTGGGGGGTTGCCTCGCTAGTATTTTGCCTAATTAAGTGAGAAAGGATGAAATGGTTTGGAAATGCTCTCTGGGTTGCCTCTCAGTAAATGTTGATGCTGGTCCTGGGAATGCTGCTAAGGGGCCCTGGAGGAAGGAGGCAGTGACACTGACCTTATTGATTTCATGTGGGACGTGCGAACTTGTCTCCTTGAGCCTGGAGATTGAGCTGTGACAGAGCCCACCTATCACAGCCATCAGTGTATTGAAGTTCTGCAGCTGGTGGAGTTTCTGCGACATAGAAAAGAGAGGAGAGTAGTCCATGTACATGTCAGTTACGCGCCTCCCCACTCTGCGCCTCGAGTCTTCCTAATACCAGTCAAAGCCTAGCAGTCAGGTGTTGTACTTTTCTGACCATTTTCCCCTGTAGCCTTAACTTCAGACCGTATCTAGCAAGGTGTCCTATCTCCCTTCTTTGTTGCACCAGTTCGGCAGGCCATCCTCTACATCAGTGGTTTCTAAGAGCCACCCAAAGTACTTGCTTAATGCAAAGACTGCTGGATCCAAGTGCAGCTATTCTGACTCCTGGGATCTGGGGCTGAGCTTTGGGATAAACCTTCAGTTAATATCAGAGCAGGTGGGCCATGTACCAAACTTTGAGAAACGCTGCTCTTGAACCTCTAGAACTAATAATATTTTGTATCCTTCATTTCAAATAACCACTTTTATTTTTAAGGCAAAGACTTTGTCTTACTCTCTTACACTGTGCCAGTGCCTGCCCTGGACCATCACCGGGAGAGAGGGGCTAGAGTCTCTGCGGAACGTCAATTACGTGTTCCTACTACCTGCTTTCCTCCCACCAAATGCCTGAACTCTGCCTTCAAACATTAAACCCAGCCGTTCAACACAGTAAGGGCTCACAGACCTAAGACAGCTGAGGTAGTCCAGCCCCAGTAAAACCTGGGAAACTGCCCTTTCCTTTGCCATGTGGGCCAGATTTGGGGAAACAACGTAGGTTGGAAAGCATCTGCTGCATCTGTTAAAAGATCTAAACAGATCTTGGGGCGCCTGGCTGGCTCAGTCAGAAGAGTGTGTGACTCTTGATCTTGGGGTCGTGAGTTCGAGCCCCATACTGGGTGCAGAGATTACTTTACAATAAATAAATACGTAAAAAAATTTTTTAAAGATCTAAACAGATCTAAAAGTGTATTCTGACCCCTGAGATAATCAGTATGGTCCTCACCATATTGCCCTTATGTAGGAAACAGAAAAGTCACCATATCTAAATCTGGGACAATTCACGTCACACACTCTCTCCTGTGGTTCAGGAGGGGGAAGCAGCTCTAACGGACAGACTGGCTGAGGGGAAGAGGGGATACTTTACCTCATAGCCCAGGTCAAATTCTTAAGCTAGTCACTGACCTGAGCCACCTGGATGAACTTGATGAAGACTTCTGCCCGGAGCTGTGGGGTGGGGCGGCTGAGAACCATCAGTTGTACCCACTGGGAGATGCCGTTACACAGGGCGATGGACCGCTCCATGGTGGGGTTCTCCTTCACACAGCTATTCACGAGGTAATTCTGATAATCGGAGAACTGGGGAAAAAGAAACCCATCAGGACTGGCCCTCTGGTCCTCTGGGACATCTGAGAGGCACATCACTTCTGCTCTGTTGATGGTTCAGTTGATGCTACGGGACAGAGGAGCTCTTGGCCCCCCTCCTGCATGTCTTCCACTTGGCTGATGGGAATGGTGGGAAGGAAATCTTTCTTATCCTACCCAAAGCATGGTTTCTCTACATCAAAAGTCATTAGGCCCAAGGGGATGTGTCCACACACTAGTTAATCCAAATACTGTATTCCGAGTGGATAATGATACTGTCCCTTCTGAAGAATACAATATAGAAGAGAAATCTCAGTATAGACAGTCCCTGACTAGAATGGTTTCACTTAGGATTTTTTAATTGTACAATGTTGCAAAAGCCATATGCATTCGTAAGAAACCATACTTTGAATTCTGAATCTGGAACTTTTCCCAGACTAGCCATATGCAGTGCGAAACTCGTGATGCTGGGTGAGTTGCGGCTCCCAGGCAAAAACATGATCACAAGGATAAATGACTGATACGCTTACAACCATCCTGTACTCCTGTAAAGTTTTCACTTTTGTTTGTTTTTCACTTTCAGTACAGTATTCAGTAAATTACGGGAGATATTCAGCTTTTTATTACAAATAGGCTTTGCCACAGATGATTTTGCCCAACTGTAGGCTAGTGTAAGTGTTCTGAGCACACTGAAGGTAGGCTAGGCTGAGCTATGTATGATGTTGGTAGGTTAGAGGTGTTAAATGCATTTTCAACTTGTGGTATTTACAACTTACAATGGGTTTATGGCCCAATAAACCCATCGTACGTTGAGTAAAATCTGTACTAGTTCTAGCTCCATCGCTGAAGTTAAGGGGAAAAACAGACAATCCTCTCAAAAATCTCCTCTCTCTTCCCCCCCACCCCCTGCACCCCCAACTGTTTTAACTTAAAAGTGGGATCATGAACTCTGCCCTATCTAGGGTCACAGAGTTGTTATGAACACAACAATGTCTGAAAGCACTTTAACTTTTCAGAGTGCTGCCCACGTGAGGTGGTACTGACAGGATAATCATTAACCTCATGCTACAACAAACCTGCTTGGATTTCCTCTGACTCACCAGCTTGAGCAGAGGCCACATGGTTAGCTATTCTGGAGTGACCACAGTTTTCCAACTGGCCAATGGCACTGACCATGGCTGACCGTGATCGGCTCCTGTGAAAGCGGAGCTGTCTCGGCAGATCACTGGCTAAGCAAGGATGCAGCCATCTTGTCCCTATCCTGGACGATCCTCTGTTCAAGTGGTAGAACCAAGAGGGAGGAGCCCTCTACTCTGCTCCAACGGGCCTGGGGAAGGTTTTGGTGTGGTATCCCAACTATTTCGAGCTCTCTGCTTCCGACCTCCCCCTTGAAATCAGATGTGACATGGTTGAGCCAGTGATTGCTGATGGGTGGAAAACTGAGCAAAAACGACTCAAGAGGGACACATAAGCAATCTTACTGGTTCTGAGAGAAAGTCCCGGTGACTCACTCCAGTGAATACAATTATATACCCCTCCCACTGTAAATAAAACATCAGATCCACTTATTTTTTAGAATTAGTACTATAATAGTAAGTACTATAAAAAGCAGAAAATATCAAATGCCACTCCATTCATAGCAGAGAGAAATTTCCCTCCAACTACAATGGAGGGACATATTTGGGAAAACTGCTTAGAACTGTGTAGGAAAAATGAAAATATGCCCCCCCCTCCCATACAAATCCTCTTCTATGAGGGGATGCCACCTAAAAGCAATGAAAGTTCACACTGATGTTTTCATTTGCAAATGGAGCACGGCCTCCAGCTGGGGGAGCACTAGCTCCAAGTCCTAGGGATTCTCACTCCTGCCTCCTGGAGGCTGCTGCAGCCGCCCAGGGCCCACTGGGGCCCCGCAGGGCTCACGTTGCCTGCGTGCTAAACGGCTCTTTTCAGTGTCCTTCCCTGGGACAGGGGAGGCACTGCCAAATGGAAACTCCCCAGGCGGAGCTTCCTAATCGGGGCCTGCAGTTTTGTGGGAGGGGTGCTGGTGGGGACCCTGGGGGGCTGGTGGGGATTAATGCTTGGAGGCTTGTTTCCACATGGGAGCTGGGGGGAGGGGGAGCCTGGCTGAATGGCTCAACCGCTGGGTGAAAACAGGATGACATCAACATCACGGGAGAAAAGATGAAATAAACTCTGAAACTTGGTTTGTCGTTCTTCCAGACACAAGCAGCCTCCATAAATTGGAACTGAGCGACCAGGAGGCATGTGACTCCAGCCCCGGCTCTGACTGTGATGAGCTGAGTGACCTTGTTCAGGCCACTTTCTGAGCAGCCCCCATCCCCTCATCTGGGGAACCCCGGTCATTCCAAGAAATGTATCCGGCAACTAGGTATGCTCTATTTTTAGAGCAAAGCCGAAGACTGTACCTCTGGGAGGGGTGGGGACTGAGTGGGCTAAGGGTGTCACTTCTCAGGCAAGCAAGCACACTGGCCGGCCGGGGCGGGGGGGGGGGTCTGATGGCATCTGACATGTTGACAAGTTCTCTTGTATAGAACCAGTGTTCTTTGGTATCACATACGGAGTTTTAAGGAGCAAGGTTTGGGACAGCCTGGTTTAGATCTAGAATCCTGGGCCTGGTCAGCACTACTTCAAGAACTTCGGGATATTCTGGGCTAGGCCATTAGACCCTAACTTTATTTTAGGATTTCCCCAAGCCACTCAAAGCCTATCTCAGAATAAAACTCTGAGAAGACATATCTCCGTTTTCTTTTTCCTTCTTTTTTTTAGGAAAGTTTTAAATTCTGGAAGCTTAGGTTATGAGGGGTAAGAGGCGTGTGCGTGAGTGTGTGTATGCTGTGCGTACACGCGTGTGTGTCTGTGTGCAGGGTGCCCCGGGGGCCCACGGTACTGTCACTTGAGTGAGTGGTGGGGTAGCACAGAGGATGGGAGAAGGGGCGCAGAGCAGAGCTACAAAGAAATTTCTAGCGTACCCATTTTCTAGACTACATGAAGTCTGACGGGAAAGTCCCCCGGCTCTGAGGGGGCCTCCAGGGTTAGGAGGTGGACGGGCCTTATTTTCTGAAATAACCCAGGGAAGTTTCTCTCCTGCCCGTCAAGTACATACTGATATCCTCCGGAAGGACTTGAACTCCAGGTAGGTGAGGTGCTCCGACAGCTCCTCGGGCTCCAGGTGATCAAAGAGCAGGGAAACCTTACGTTTCTTGCTGGTGTTTGATTTGATCCTTTGGGTCAGTTTCCTGGACCAGTCCCGGGCATTGCTTTTGTGGGTAAACATGAAAGGGAGAAGAAGAGGAAAAGTAAACCAAAATTACTTTTTAGTTCAAGTAAATCCATTCGCATTTCCCACAAGGATATACAAAGCACCATGAATTAGCTAACTTTCTTCCACCAAAACAAAGCGTTAAACGGTTTCCCACTTTTTTTTTTTTCCCCCTATGGCACCAAGTAGGAAAGCCTTGCTGGTTTTCAGTGAACCTTCGGAACATGTCATGGGACCTGGGTAAGACGTGTTTACTTTAAGGCCGTGGGAAGGAAAGTAAGTCTCAGGCATTGGTCGCAGTGTCCTGGCCTTTGATCCTTGCTCCTCTGTCTAGCCCCTGGCATCTCTGCTCTCTCCATGCCTTCTGCGTGTTCCTTCGTTCTTAGGACGGTGATGGGGATGCTACCTCAAGGTTTTAGTAAGGCAGCATTCCACAAACTGAGAAGCCACGCTGCGGGGAATCGTGCAGGAACATGTGGTCACTCGGGGCAGACTTGGGGCATTCTCCTCAAACATTCCCAGCCACGGAAATGACCAAGGAAGCCTAGCTAACCCTAGAGTGCCCTCCACCCCCACATTTTCTTAGAATTGATCCATTAGTTTTCCTAGAATTGATCCTTAGTTTCAATTTCCTTCACTAAGGAAGCAGCCATTTTGAGAGGCAGCGGGGTGCAGATCTGTTTCCCAAACTGGTATTGATGGGAGCCTTGTCCCTTGACAAAGGATTCTGCGGTCAAGTGAGTTTGGGAAAGCCTACAGATTCTGGAGCCCTGTTGGCCAGTGAACGGGTTATAAAGTGAGATGCCAAAGGGAAGCTTAACTCACTATTTCTTAAGTATATCTGCTCAGGCAATATCCCACTGGCTACTTCCTAAAGAATGTACTGTGGGAAATCTCAGGAGAGGTCAGTCAGCGAGGGACACGGTGGGACAAGGAGATCGGGGTCTGAGAACTGCCCTGTGCCCCAGGTTCTACATCTTTTAAATGAGAACACTGTTACTTTGAAATTTTCTCTTATCTTTCAAGTTGTAGATTCTAAGCAGAGAAGTACAGAGAATCCAAACCGGCATCTGCAGAACGATATCCAGGACGATGTAATGTGATCCTAAGGTCATTTCTGTGGGGCTGTGGCTCAGTGCACGGAGGGCAGTCCGAGCCCAGCTTCCCTCTGCTACTAATTGTGTGACCCCAGCCAACCTTGCCAAGCCTCGGGTTCCCAGGATGTTGCATGGAACGATCCCTAGAATATGCTTCGGTCCTAGAACGCTATATCCTAGGGATTTCTGTTATTCCAAAATAAAGTGGCCATGTTGCGAACAGTGTGAGAGAGAGAGTGTGTGTGTGTGTGTGTGTGTGTGCATGGTTCTCCCAAAACTAGGAAAGGCCCTCATTTTTCCAGAGTGGGCCAATGTCATAGACAATGTCATAGACATGTGTGTCAGAGATAATTACAAGGAATACGGTTACAGACAAACCAAAAGTGCAAAGATGGGGTAGTGCATCTGTAAATTACACTTTCTCATATGCAGTAATCTCAGCTATTCCTGAGAGCCTTCCCATCTCTGCAAGTCTAGGCGTCTCTTGTAGACATCCATATAAGTTAGAAACCCTCCGCTCAATCCATTTCTCAGCAGTCCCTTCCCTGAGACTGTGGCTGCTGAGGAAGCATCTAGTGGTCGTACTTCCAGTTTCTCATCATCTGGATTCATTGTAGTCACTATCTCGCTACCTGGTTTCTTCTTCACTGGGACTTTTTTTTTTTTTCCCCTTGCTCTTTGACATTAGTCACTCACAGCTTTATCACCAGTGGGGCTTCTCTGCTTTTCTGCTAAACGTCAGTCTTTTCACTCTGGGGCTACAATTTGAGCCTGCCTGAGGGGCTTCCGGGAGTGGGGAATCCAGCCCTCCCAGCAGGGGGTCAGAGGCCTGGCTGAGCAGCCCAGGAAGGAGGTGGTTTGGAAAGATTAGTCAAAACCTTGACACTCACATTTGAGTTGTGTCGATCAGGTGGCAGTGTAACTCCTCACCACTAGCCTTCACCAGCTCCTGAAACTCCTCCATAGTGTTTGTCAAGCTGGCATCCATTTTAAACATGATCCAGAATTCTGTTATCCAGTACCTACGAGGTGGGAGTTAAAAAACAAAACAAACAGCAATCCAAAACTGAAGCCAAGAACTCATGCTTTTTGGTGGGTTCTTCCCACGAAGAGGAATCAGAAAAAGACAGAAGCTGCTTTGTCCTTCTGCATGCCTGGGAATACAGAATATATATTCTATATATAGAATATAAGGGGGTGGGGTGATGGTGTGGGGGATGGAAAGAAAGCCACCTGCTGACAGTCCCCTACCCCTCCACACACCACATGCTTTGACAGGATAGGCACAGCACAACAGAAAAAGCGACAGCAAAGATTTAGGCACTATCAGGTGTATCCGAGATAATTACAAGGAATACGGTTACAGACAAACGAAAAGTGCAAAGATGGGGTAGTGCATCTGTAAATTACACTTTCTCATATCTTACAAATATAGTACCATGAAAAATAATGTCCACAAAAAAGTTTTTAATGATGAAAGAAGATTCCTAGGATATAAAATTAAGTGAGAAATAAAGGATACAAAAATGTATTTTGACCTCAATTATGTTAAAAAAGAACTGCTTAGAAAAATGACAAAGGAAATATTCCAAAATAGTGGGATATGAGTAATTATTACTATAGTTATACTCTTTACTGTACTTTCCAAAATGCTCTAATATGAGCTAGATTACTTTAATAATTCCCTTTCCAGGCTGTCCAGAGGTGTTCTATAGACAGGACAGGAAAGGTAGGGAGCATGAAGAAAGAACTAGAATCCCTTGCTTCAGCCTTTCATTTCACCCAACTCCACAAGTCCCAACTACACGTAGAAATGTTACCTTACAAAATAGCAGATCTTCAGACAAAGCCCTGGTGAGTTCTTTGCCAAGGCGTCCTTATAGGTAGGGCTGTGGTTAAGGGAAATAGAAGCCTCTGTCATAGAAACCAAACAACTTCTCATCTTTGGAAGTATTTGCTAAAACACCCCCCCGCCATATTTTCTTATTTTTTTGGCCATAGGACAAAAACCAACTTGATGTGTGCAGTTGTGTGCGTTATTAGCACCTGGAAGGGTGATGATGGGGACTTTCTGTGGAGCCCACACCTCCTTATGGAAGGAGGTCCCAACATCTCCTTTGCAGAAGGGGAAGTAGGAAGCCAACAGTGTGGGAAGGTCCTGGCATAAGCAGCCTATCTGAATGGCAAAAGGGGCACATGACCTCCTACCCATGCCCAAGAGATGTGGAGTCCCACTGAAACAACTTTGAGGAGCCCCTTCTCTTAAAGTGTTTCGAGGAATGGATAAACAATTTGTGCAGTAAATGAGGAGGGGGAGAATGAATGAATATTCAGATAGACTGTCATGATAATTAAGGGCAGTAATGTGAAAAATGACAATATATGCCTGCAGGAGGTAAGCAGATGGACCTTGGAAGTCGTGATGGCAAGTCAGACAAAGCCATGTGATTAATCCAAAATACAATCAGAGATGGCACTTGGAATATTCCATGAGAATGGTGCCATCCTAAGAATATGAGAGAATAGTAAGATCCCATTACGTTGACCTCTTTAGAGATCCGTGGAGAGAATATTTCATTTATTTTACAAGCCAAAGAAATGCAAAATCCAATCCACTGGTACCCTGGGTGGGTCTACCATCTCTGGTCACCAGACTGAGGAATCAGGTTACGTGCACCATGGGCCCTGCCAGGCTGTACCCTCTGTCCCTTCTAAACACTGTGCTGTCATAACTTCGGTACGGGGTTCAGTGACTTCCTGCAGCGCCCCTGCCGGGAGTCCAGTGAGTAAGCTGGCAGAAAGCTCAAGTAACTGGGTGGGAGTGGTCTTCCTTCAGTGTGCATGTGTATCTTAAATCCCAGAAAATGTAGAGGTAAACAGAGCAAAGTGAAAGTCTACATCCTAGGATCAGTGCTTTTGATTAGGAAGGAATCTGAGCATTCGGGGATTTTATATCCCTGTAATGTTTAAGAGTATATTGGCATGATAGTCTCGAAACTTCCCTTTATAATTAAGTGCTAAAGCACTTGTGGTTTTAAATTGAAATTTTATTAAGTTTAATCATGGCTTTGGAACTTCTAAAATGATGTTAACTGTTTATAACTTTAATAGTTATAAAAACTATTTAGAATTCAGGAAGGCATCTGAAGTATTTAAAAATCATTCAAAATGTAAAATTCATAACTGTAGTTTACAATCATCAGAAGCATTTAGTTAATGAGCATTATTCAAATTAACCAAACATTTTTCAAGGCCCCTTAAAAACGCTTGGTGAAACATGCTAGACTTACAGAAAGAATCATATTTGCAAACTAAACTTGAAGCCCTAAAGAAGAGCTATGGCTGTAAAATTGGTACTTTTAATAAAATCACTTAAAAAAGTAAATTTTGATAGACTTACTGCCTATAATATCTGTCCTCAAAAGCACCAAAACAAAAACAAAACACAAAAACACACATTAACAGCAACACAGAAAATAAAAATAAGTCCAGGCAACTGGCAAACCTGATGAACTAAAAGGCTCTGTCTGACGCCTGCCTTTCTTTGGGCATAAATAAGAGTGAAAACAAGGACTTTACGCGTCTTTAGGCCGTATTGCTGAGGACATGCCTGCCTTCAATGCAAGAGCTTTAAGCACAAGGCACATTCTAGATAAATATGGCCCAGATTCTCTATTTTTATTATTTGATGCACTTGCTGAAATTTTTATTCTTCCTTTTTAATGAGGAAGGGACGGAAAACGTACTTCTCTTTTAAAACCAGCTAAGTAGATCTGTAAATCAACACAGTGCCTTTTACTGCGGAGCTTTCATCTGGTCGCTCCCTGCCCATCCCTTGTCCCTTCCAATGTCCATCCCTGTGGTGCGCGGTGGCCAGTGGCCCAGCGTGTGGGCAGGACCTGAGTGAATTGGTCGGTGTGCACGCCAGCTCTCCGTGCACAGGGCCAGGCAGGACGCCGGGCAGGAGGACACAGCCTCCCCCTCATCAGATCCCCTAAGCCACAGCAGAGGCAGCCCTGGAGTGAGGCAGGGCACCTGCTTTTTCACGTGGAGCGCCGAAGCAAGCGCCCAGCATGTGCAGTATCAGAGGCTCCAGCATCTGCCTCGAAGGGGTTCAGGTCACTGTTTGCTGGAAGCTTCAGGCTCCACACATTTTCCTTCTCTTCACAGCCGGTATTCTGACTATACTTTTCAGGCACTTGAGCCATTCAAAGCGTGTTTTCAAATCTTTTTTAACGATGAAAAACCAGGAAGCATCAAGGAAACCGTGAGCTTATGTAACTAATAATTTTATTACTTCCAAGTCAGAAAACAAAAGAGACACTAAACGTGAAGAAAAAAATCGTTCTGCTGTCAGTGTTTAACCTGGGCTTCAGTGACAGGCAGTCTTACTTCATGTTCCCTTCTTAGAATCTCGTCCCCTGCCCCAGACCAAAGCCTGAATTTCTCACCTAAAAGTGTCCAGTGTTTTGCACCCATAGTCAGGCAACATTTGTCATGTACTATCATGAGATGGCCCCTGAGGTAAGTTCTAGAGAAACAAAGATAAATAAGCCTTGGTTCCTGATGCTGACGGACACACAGACTAGTGGGGGAGACACATACACGGGTAAGTTACAGCATATACATTTTTAAATCTAGGTTAAAAATATATTTATGTTTTTTTCTTGAGGTAACTTACAATTAATTTTTAGTACCTTTTAACTTTCTATGTTACTAACACAAATCAAACTACGCAGCTAGACACAAAGTTTCTGCAGTGTACTTGAAATAGTCATCTATAGGGTGCCTGGGTGGCTCAGATGGTTGAGCATCTGCCTTCGGCTCAGGTCATGATCCCAGGGTCCTGGGATCGAGTCCCACATCAGGCTCCCTGCTCCTTGGGAGCCTGCTTCTCCCTCTGTTTCTCTCTCTCTCTGTCTATCATGAATAAATAAATAAAATCTTTTTTTTTTTTAAAGATTTTATTTATTTATTTGACAGAGAGACAGCAAGAGCAGGAACACAAGCAGGGGGAGTGGGAGAGGGAGAGGGAGAAGCAGGCTTCCCGCAGAGCAGGGAGCCTGATGTGGGACTCGATCCCAGAACCCTGGGATCATGACCTGAGCCGAAGGCAGACGCTTAATGACTGAGCCACCCAGGCGCCCAATAAATAAAATCTTTAAAAAAAAAAGAAATAGTCATCTAGAGAGACCAGAGCACGTATGTAGCACACCGCAAAACTTACAGACTGAAGTCTGGGTAGATCAATTTATTTAGCTAACAGAGTAAAAATACTTGGCACTTTCTGCAATCGTAGATGAAAAGCTTTTCAAAGCAGATTACATCCAGACCAGAGACGTGAGAGACACTTAAGCAATACAAAACTAAAGTCACAGGAATTAGATTTTCAAAGCACTAAGCACGCTAGATGTGTTTTTAAAAGGGAGGGGTGTGTGGAAGGCTGAAAACGACAGGAAAGACTTCACAGAGGGGTCTGGAAGGAGCTGCTAGGCACTGAGGGAGGAAGAGGCCATCCAGGCACAGGAATTGTAAGAGGACCCGGTCCAGCTGGTGCATGGGCAAGTTGGGTGTGGGGGAGACAGGGCTTCTGGGAGAGCTGCAGGGGGGAGGAGAAGGGACACTGGGGGGTCAGACCGTGGACGCCGTGGCCTGGCAGCTGAGGAGCTGGGCATTACCCTGCAGTCTGCCGAGGCTCTGAAGCAATGGCCTTTGCGATCTGCTTCTCTGGAAAGTAACTTCAGAGGCGGCTAATGATTGGGGGGTGGGGGATGCTAGCAGCACGCCAGTGAGGACAGCAGTCCGGGACAGAGAGGGGCCTAGGAGGGAAGATGGAGGCCCACACTAAGGCCGTGGCAGGGGGATGGAGAGAAGAAAGCAGCTAAGAGTCATTTCTTAAGTAGAAGCCCTGGGATTGAGTAATGGACTCCGTAGGAGGTGAAAGGCGGGGAGGAGTCAAGGGCACCTCTGAGGTTTCTGGTTTGGCTAAGTGGATGGGCAAGGACACCACAAACTGAAAGTGAAAATGAAAATGCAGGTGTCACAGCAGAATTAATGGGTAGTAACTGGGGATGAAGGTGGTGAGAAAATGAATTAAGTTTTGAGCATATTAAGACGGAAGTGTCTGCAGCACAAACTAGTCCAAATATTTTTTACAAAAAGGTCTGGGTTAAAGAAATACAGACTTGGAACAAACTGAGGGTTGCAGAAGGGAGGGGGCGGGGGGGTGGGGTAACTGGGCGATGGGCATTAAGGTGGGCACGTGTTGTGATGAGCACTGGCTGTTGCACACAACTAATGAATCGCTGAACACGACACCAAAAACTAATGATGTACTACTGTATGTTGGCTAATTGAATTAAAAAAAAAAAAGAAATACGAACTTGAAAGTCCACAGCACAGAGGGACAGAGGTGGAAATCCTGGAGGGAAATCACCCAGGGAAGGAGGCAGAGTGAGAAGGACACCAGGACGCTGTCCCCCTGTTTGAGAGGTGCTCGGAGAAGGGGCTAGATGAGAAGCCAGATGGAGTATCAGGAGGGAGAGGGTCTGGAGAGGCAGGGGGTGTCCACAAAGCTCAGAGTAAGCAGGGACAGAAAAGAGCCAAGGGGCTGAGCCACCCGAAGGCCAGTGGTGACACGAGAAGAAAGTCTGAGGGCCGGGGTGGGGGCCCCAGCTGAGTGAAGGAGTGAGTGGGAGTCAAGAGATGGGAGATAGTGAGTGCAGACTATTTTAGGAGGTTTGTGCACCAAATTTCCAACTAACAGTGGAGGCAAGGCAGGGTGGAGAGTTAATTTTTAGGTTGGGGAGACTTGAATGTGTTTTAGGCTGAAGGGCAGGTGTCACTGAAGGGGCAGAGGTGAAAGTGGAGGAGAGGGGACATGTGAGGGGTCAGCCTGTGGGTGGGGGGAGTGAGCAGGGAGAGGGGGCTGTGTACGTGGGGGCAGCCAGGGGGCACCATTTAGTCCTTAGAGCAACACGTTTCTCACTGAGAAGGTTTTAACTACTGACACTGCTTAGAACTGCTGGTACATGGAGTTAGTAAAAAGTCGACGGACTCTGAATCAGCTTTACAATGATTTAAAAATTCTCTGCAGACCAGACACCCACTTATTACCTGCAGCTCTTATTATATAGACCTCTGCCAACGCTCCGCCCTTGGAATCCTTTGATATGAGAAGTAAAGATTTCTAAGTAGGTTTAGAGAAGAGATTCAGTCTCTTCTGGTGGCTTTTATTTTTTTGTATGCCGTAAGGTGAAAAAGAAGGGGCCAGGGGAGGGGGTATAGGATGAGAAGAGCCACCAGTCATGACTCACTGCCAAGGACCCCGGCGGCAGGTACTCCACGGGCTCCTCCATGCCTTTCCCATGAGAAAGGAGCACCTACAGTCCTTTCTCATGGGGCCAGGGCTTCCAGTGTCCCCAGCGAGAGGCAGAGGGCAGTCTCCTTCTCCACCCTACTCAATTCACACCCCATAAGAAGGTTAAAATCCAGCAGGGTTTGCTTGGCCCATAGCCAGCGCCTCTGCCTGAAGCACGAAAGTGGACTCTGCAGATACTGTGGTGTCACGAAGCCTTCTTCAGAGCCTGGGGAAAGGGTGAGAATGGGATAGGAGAGCCAGTTTGTCATTGGAGTCGTGACTGCACCCTTGTCCATCTGCACAGGACGAAAACGAATTTTGACTAACCTACAGGAAAGGGATTTTTACTCGCCAGACATACTGAAGACCCATGATTTCTTTGACGATTTGCCTGAGCAATCAGCTTTGAAAACATTGCCCGGCCCAACCGCGGTGACACATACGTGTGCCCATGTGCTCACAGACACACACATTGACACCACGCACCACCCCCACAGCCCCGAAAGGACATTTTTGAACCCATTTACCACTCAGAGTTATTCCAAACCAATCGCAATGAAAGCAAATTTCAAATTTCAAGATACTTCTGAATGAATCCCATTGGGGGATGGGCAGTCACTGTGCTCAAGGATATAGGGTGATAACTTTCTGGAGCAGCTCAGCAGAGGAAATGATAATTCGGTGCATGGTCAGCATGACTTGCAACAGTTGGTTACTTCGACACAGGTTTCCATCTGCATCTGAAAACACAAAAAGCAGCATCTGAGCAAGGCCCCCTGAGAGAAAGGAGTCCCCTGCTGGGACACCTGACAACCCTCCATTACCCGAAGGTGGTGGGCGGCCAGAGTGGCTTCACACAGTGCTTTTCTCCCCCTGCCTTGAGCACCACACACCCCTCCCTTCTTTGCTTCTTACCCGCCTGCTGCATTCTCCCCTTCCCAAAATGTCCATTTTCATGTTTGTTAACCACCCCACCTGAAAGATAGTAGAGTCTTGGGAAAGGAATGAAACTTGCATCATACACTCAAGTTTCTGTTGAAAGCAGAAACAGATCCAAGTTTTATGGGGCCCAAAGTGCATATAATGGGGGGGTGGGGTCCTTTCTGGGGTCAGAGTGAAAAATATATAGTCTTAAGAGATTACAGTTAAATATCCTACTTTTGAAAAATTTACAAGAACATGTGATCATAGGAATACATTTCTAGGGCTCTCTCATGGCCTTGGAAGGGATTCCTGCCAGCGAGGGGCCCTGAAATAGAAGTTTGCCTAGGTTTATGGGCAAAATGCCTCTGGATGAAAATAAAGGAGGAAGACTATAGGCAAACATGGCATTTGGAGATGGTGGTACCCACGAAGTATCCCTGATGGTTCCTTTCAAAGATCACGGTTAACGAGGTTTTCCAAACCCAGCAGGTACCAAACAGATGCATTCCATACACGGGCAGTGGGTATAAATATTCCCTCTGGAGTGGTTTCCAAATCTTTTTTTTTTTTTTATTTTTTTTTTATTTTTAAAGATTTTATTTATTTATTTGAAGAGAGAGACACAGCGAGAGAGGGAACACAAGCAGGGGGAGTGGCAGAGGGAGAAGCAGGCTCCCTGCAGAGCAAGGAGCCCGATGGGGGGCTCGATCCCAGGACCCTGGGATCACGACCTGAGCCGAAGGCAGACGCTCAACGACTGAGCCACCCAGGCGCCCCGGTTTCCAAAATCTTTTCAACACTTATGGCATGCAGTGTTAGGGGCTCTGTTGGTTATTGGGGGCCAGATCTATTCCCCATCCTTCACCGTGGATTAACCCTTGCCAGCCGGCTTCCAGGTGGGTTCAGCTCTGGGGAAGCATCAGGGAGGCTTTGGTGCCACTTCCTGATAGCAGCTCTAGGTCTCTTCAGCGAACAACCACACTGGCTGGCCTGTCCTTCCTGGCTCCAGCTCTTACTGAGATCTAACACCGCTGATCTCCATTGACCCCTGGCCCCTGGGTTGGCGGAGGGGCAATGACTTCTGGTTGTTGACCGCCTGGGTGCAGCATCTCTTAACTCCACCCTCATCTCTGTAAGTACTACCTTCGCTGCAGTGCTCTCATTTAAACAAGCCATGTGAATTCTGTTCTCTGATGGGAACTTGGATGATTCAGGGCAAAGTATCAAAGGAAAGACGGGACATGACTTGCCACAGCACTTCGAAGCTCTTTAAAACACACTGTGCAAGCGAGGTTGTCATTTTCACTCTTTCCAAGTGCACCAAACGGTAAATGAAGGGCACCGTGCATTTGGGTTCCAGATTTGGAAGTTCTGGGTCACCCTCAGACGATGACCTAAAGTCACAGTTCATTGAGAAACTGCGCTTCAATGGCCCGGATCACTCACCTTTCCCTCACCAAATCCACAGATTTCTGCGTGTGCTGTTCCTCCCCCTGCCTGCCCTTCCCTGTTTCCCTGGGAGGACTTTCTGAAGAGGCCATGGCTTCCACTGGGCGCACAGTCTCCTCCTTTCCCAAGGATGCCGATCCTGCCTCTGTCCACATTCTCTCCTGCATCACCCACTTCCCTCCCTCTCTCTCTCCTGCTTTCCTTACCCATGGCACTTAAATACAATGTAACAAAGCCTTGGGCTCTCACCAGCTCTAGGACTTCTCCATTTCTCTGTTCCCGTTTTTAGCAGATCCTCACTCTCATCAATTTCCCACCTCCCATTCCATTTTCAACCATTCCATTTTGACTTCTATCTCTGCTATCCCACTGAATAGTTTATTTTCAAGGTCACCAACCAGCTCCACATTGCCAAATCCAATAGTTTGTTTCGCTGGCTTCGTCTGACTTCGTGATTCAGGTTGCATTCAACCCAACCAAACCCAAGTTGACAACACTCTTTCCTGGAACACTTTCTTCTCTTGGCTTCCATAACATCACACTGTCTCAGCTTCTCTCTCACACTCTTCTTCTGTCTCCTCTTCCTCTGCTGAGCATTTAAATGTCACCATGCTCTGTGGCTTAGTCCTCCCACTTCTTTTTAAAAACAATTTTAAAAATTTGAAACTTCTTAAATTTTAAATTAAAAATTTTAACTTTTTTTCTGGGGTGAACTCATCTAGTCCTTTGGCGAAAACACCATCTATTTGCTGATGACCGTCCAACTGATATCTTTAGCCTGAGTACCAAATTAACATGTCCAACATCCTCCTTGGCAAAGCAACACAGGGGTCTAATTTCAAACTTAACTCATCCCACCCAAACTCCTGACCTCTCTCTCTCCCCCCTAGTCCAGTCCTCCTCCATTCTTCCTCATCTCAGGAAATGGTACCACCAACCATCCTCAGTTACCCAAACAGAAAACCTAGGAGTCATCCTTAATTTCTCACTTTCCCTCACATCCAATCCATCAGCAGGTCTTGATTCTACTTTCAAAATGTACCTCAAACCAGTTCATTTCTCTCCATCCTGGCCATTACAGAGACCACTTGTAACTAGTACCATGATGCACAAACCCAAATGACCCCCTGCTTCCTCTCTTGTCCATTCTCCATACAGAAGCCAGGAGGGTGCCCATAAATCAGGTCATGTGCTTCGTACCCTTTAACGGATTCCACTCCACTTGTAATAAAACACAAAAATCCTTGCTGTGGCCAGTGGAGCTCCATCTGGCCCCTTCTAATATCTCCCACTTCATTTCATACCATACCACTCCTGTCCATACTTCTATTTATACCTCAGACCCTCCAAGTTTATTCCTAACTCATAGACTTTGCATTTGATATTTCCTGCAATGTGGCCTTTCTTCCCTTGGCCTAGTCATGTCATTCGGTCTCAGTTTCAATGTCACATCCTCAGAGAGGTCTTCCTTAAACTACCTGAGGTAGCCATTACCCTGCCTGAGATTCTCTGTAGCACTTACCGTGATTAGAATTATCGTTTTAATTTTTATTTTCTGAGTCTCCCCTAGAATATAAGCTTTGTGAGACCTCAGCCCTGTCTGTTTCTCCCACAACCTTATTTCCAGGGCCTAGAACAGTGAGGATACAGTGAGGATAAGGTATTCCTTAAACATTTGTTGAGTAAGTGAGTGAACTCTATCAAATAGGACACCCCTTAACTTTCCTTATGTCTTTGGATATTGAGCTTCCTTTTGTCATTACATATTTCACTGATGAAATACTTGTTTTCTTCTTGGCCAAAGTTTACCAAAAAAACTTAAGGTTACAACTTGACAAATCATTTTTATGAAGTATTCAGTTAGGCTCGTTATAGTTTTGTTAATCTTTTTTTTTCAAGATTTTTAAAAATTTATTTATTTGAGAGAGAGAGAGAGACAGAATGAGCTGTGGAGGAGGGGCAGAGGGAGAGGGAGAAGCAGACTCCCCACTGAGCAGGGAGCCCGATGCCAGACTCGATACCAGGACCTTGAGATCATGACCTGAGCCAAAGGCAGATGCTTAACTAAGCCACCCATTCACCCCAGTTTTGTTAATCTTTCATGAATTCTTCTCAACTTATTGAGGCAGGGTCAGTATCATGTTGGGTATTTTCACCATAAGCATCTTTGCCACAAGCTTTTTCACCACATAACTAACAGGCTGTAAGGCAATTTTGCTGTAAAAGATAAAAATTACCTGGTTGACAGTTTGGCTTCATGTTCCCATGATGCCGTACTCTCATTTTTATAGGAGATGAAGCTCAGCCCTCACAATGGTCTATACGGTGGCACCGACTTTTGAACCCAGGTTTCCCACAGAACTTGGAATGTCTGTCAGTGGACGCGGGACAATATACCACGAACAAACAGCCGTGGAGAAGGGTTTCACAATGCGATACAGAGCTCATGTACAAATACACATCTTAGTACTTGGAAACGGATACCTCTCTTCATGAAGGAGGAAATTTTAGCGAGGAGACAAATCCATAAGCAAAAAAAAAAAAAAATGTGTAATAGTACGAATGACTTTGAAGACTGTGTTGAGCTCCCACACACAAGGCCAATGATTTGCACAGGACTGCCACTGCACATTTTAAAGGTACTCAAATATTTTCTATTTTGCAATAAAGTCTTTTTAATTTCGTGATTCAGTTTTCATGTTTTCTCATGTCCTTTTAAATGAATATCCCTCTTTTTTTTGTGATTTTTATATTTTATGGCCAAATTGTTTTTCACCTGATTCGTTATGCATCTAACTTGTGGGGAAGATCCTCACTGCGCAGGTGTTGGTGCCGATTGCCTGGAACTGGTTGGTGTTGCGCTCTGTTTTCTGGCCCGATCTCTGTAATAGTGATCTCTTGCCACGAAAATTCCACATAACAAACCACCCCAAGACTCGGCGACTTAAAACAGCACTCAACTGGGTGCCTGGGTGGCTCAGTTGGTTAAGCGACTGCCTTCGGCTCAGGTCATGATCCCGGAGTCCTGGGATCGAGTCCCACGTCGGGCTCCCTGCTCAGCAGGGAGTCTGCTTCTCCCTCTGACCCTACCCCCTCTTGGGCTCTCTCTCTCACTCTCTCTCAAATAAATAAAATCTTAGGGAAAAAAAAAAAAACAGCACTCAATTATTTCTTCTCAAGTGTCTGTGAACTGGCTGGCGGGTGAGCTCGGAAAGGCTGGGCTTTGCTGGGGGCCACTGTTCCACAGGCCCCCCCGGCCACCCTGGACCAGCTGGCTAGTGAGGTATGTTCTTTTATGGTGACCACAGGGTGCCTAAGGACTACTGGAAATACTGAAGGCCTCTTAAGCCTAGGCTTGGAAGTGACA